AACAAACCGTGTTAGGTGTTGAGTGCCTTCCTTTTTGGATTTGAATGTCAGAGGTCCCATGTGTAGGCAGATATGTAGAATACATTAAACCCACACCCTTTCCCCTAAACTCCTCTCAAACTCCTCTCACAGTGGCCTTTTCTATTCCTAACTTTTTGGAATATCCAAACCCTTTTATAAGTAGGAGAATAGCGAGTATCTTTAAGGAATGCACATCAAAATAGTACAAAAATACGTGGCTCACCATTCACAGCATCATTACAAATCCTGTGAATAGGTTATGACAAATCCGTGTAAGTATGTTATTACAAATCTGGTTGAAAGTTAGTTTCAAATCCAGTTAGTTATTTTATTACTTATGACATTTATTTTTATTACAGATTCTCTTGGTATTACATATCACGTTGATTTTTATTACAAATCCGGTTGATATTACAAATCAGGGTGATACATCTCAGACAGCAGTAAAGCACTAAACACTTCTCATGACTTTTAGAGGCTACAGAACGTTTAATGAAGAATTATGTAGAAGTGATATTAGAGCAATAGACTGGAATACTATTCAAAGCAAATGTACCAACTTGCATAAGCTTGCCGCCAAAAATATTGCAGCTATAACAGTAACTGCAGACAAGCATGCTCCAAAATATATATTTCTAAGACTAAACAAAAACAGCTAACAAAACCGAGGATAACAAATGGCATCGTAAAATCAATAATATATAGATTTAGCCACGGCTAAAAGCGAAGCTCCCATTGATAAATTTATAACTTAAATCCAACAATAGTTTTGTATTCCACAAATCAGTTAACTTAAGGGCACATTCATGTGACTTTTAAGGGAAAAGCTAAGTGATTTTGGAGTGAAACAAATCTTGTATTGAGTTGATATAGCCTTATATGTACACCCAAAAAATAGTCTTCGGTCACATTTAAGAGCAATAACGGCTCCTGATCACAGTAGATAAGGTGTGGAAAAAAAATTCTTGGAAAACAAATCAGGCCGAATTTTTTGCGTTCGACAAGTTTACAAATTCTTGCCAATAAATCTGGGTGCATGCAAACCAATCTTTTATTTTTTTTATACACCACATCTGAGGAGAACGAGTACTATGGGGCGCTGTTTTTATCATACAGACCTCGTACAAAATGCAGTATTTCACAATTTTTCAAGACAAATTGCATTCATTCAATATTCAGGACCATCAAAGAACGCATGGACTTTTAATTAGCGAAGCCGTTCAAAAAATTTCCAAAATCACCTATACAGCCAGCCTGTTCGAACTTTTGACAAGCAACAAATTTGCAAAGAAATTTTAAAAGAGTTACGCTTCAACGTGCTAAAGAATTTATTGAGTCTATTTCTTATTAATGGTTTTATAACAATGTGTAATCTTAAAAAGCGTTTGTTACGCTCGGCATTTTGAGTACTCCTACAAGCGATGTTTATGAACGGCTGAAAACAAATGGCAAAGCGATGAAAATTACACCTTTGCGACTACCAACAATCAATAAAGAAATATAATTCGGTAGAACATTTACAGAGACAACAATTTTCATTCACGAAAACAAATGAGTATTTAAGTGTGTCTAAGAATCCTCAAGTCTTTACCAGTAAGCTTAAAGATTATTAAGTTTATGTTTTAAGCTGCCGGTTTCCCGGTTTTTTCCTGTTTTCAAAGATGAACTCATGACAAGAAAATCGCTCAAAGCTTTCTTTCTACAGCCAAAATTATAACTAAATATTCTTCGGAAAGTTTTTTCTTTCTATTTACGGTGAATTAATATCGACTAAAGGTTTTTTAAAGTTCTGTAAGCTTAAGCTTATTTCAAATTAAACCTCATACTGGGTCAGATCAGTGTCTCAGTCAAATCTTAATACAAATGTGCATAAACTGCGCCGCTGGACTTCATGAAATTAGATATAAATACAATAATTACTCAGGCTTACCATATTTCGAGATGCAGCTCCCGAAAGCTATCAAGTAAGGCAAGGGTCGCTTGAGCCTTTACAATTCTCGTACGCATCCAGCAAGGTGAAAAACAAAAACGATGCCATCCGAAATCGGATTATCGGCTTTGACAAGCGACGCATTTCACAACCAAAAACCCACTAAACAAACCAGCCATGAATAAGAGAACACTCTTGATAGCAGTTGTATTTCATTTTGTACATCCAGTGGAAAAAGACAGTTAAAAACATCACAAGTTGACTCGAAACTCTGTCAGCTTCAGCTGTCAAAGTAAACAACTTTCAAGATGCTGCATAAATTTTACGCATGAACTCACCTGTCAAATTTTAACCAATCAGAGCATAAAAATTGGACGTCGAGCGTGACCAACGCGTGACCATGGTAAGAAAAGGTCTTCCCTGCCTGTATTTTTAAATAACTGGCTGAATTTTCGTGTCTGAGGTAAGTTTGAAGTCAAAATCTTAATAGTGCTGGGCCATAGTGTCATAAACACAACATATTTCATATAAATTTTTAAAGCACAAACTTGAGCCTGCGATCATTTGAAAAGTAATTACTTTTCAGCGGATAACTTCAAATAAATACTTGATCTCGATGGGTCGACACCTGAGCCTGTGATACCGTCAGGTGATACTGGTCAGCGGATACTCTGTTTTGACAGCTGTCAATTGATCACTGCATTGATGTGCAATCAGTTTTCTCCTGGGCTCCCAAACTAGCTAGAAAGTGGGAGAGTAAACATTGGTATGCCTGTGGTGTGGACGGACGGTCGTTCGTTCGGTGTACGGTCACGTGATAACCAAATTTCTGGGATGGGTAGATTTACTTAGCAATGGGGCTCCGACCACGTGTGCACGAAGCACGCACGCGTGTAGCTCCACTAAAAACTAAACAAAGAATGTATAAAATTTACTGCCAGTGCATTAATTTAATTGCAATTGATTGTTGCTCCCTATCAGCATCGTAAACAAGGTCATCCTCTACCTTTACCTCTACATCTTCTACAGTGTCATTAGCCACGTCTTCCATCTCAACATCCACATTAACTCCAGATGCATTTTCCATACCAGTGCCTTCGACAGCACCAGTCTCATATCACACCTAGACATTTGCATTACCACGAACGATATTATCCATTTCTGCCTCCACCTCCACAGTGCCACCCTTGTCATCTACCTTTACATCCACTTCCCAAGTGCCGTGCATGCCAATTTCTATTGCCATTTACATCTCCTCAGTACCACCCATGTGTTACTCTACCTCCACCTTTGCAGTGCCACCAATGCCATCTTCTACCTCTACCTCCACCTCCTCAGCGCCATGTGAGTCATCTTCTGTCTCCACCTCCACGTCTTCAGTGCCACCCATGTCTTCCTCTATCTCCACCTCCTCCTACGTTCACTTCCATGGTGACATCTGTATATTCTACCTCCACCTCAACATTGCCATTAACACATTATTAGTGTGTTAATAAGGTACGCTCAATTTTTTTAAACAGTATTAACAAGGTGTAATTCAAATTTTGAAGTGAATCATTCCCAGGATTTTGCTTGGTTGACCATGTTAACTGGCACCAGGCCAAGGGCACTGACAGCTTTTATTTTTACAGCGAGGCCCTGCATAATTATCGTCATGAAAATGTGTTTTCAACATATATTTTAATCCAATGAGTAGTGGTAGTTTATAACAGCTCGCAGTGTACATTTACATCTAAGCTTGAATGGATCTGTTTATTCACATATGCATTTCCCCAGATACTAGAGGAAGTTGCAGGTATGCAGGACAAGCTTAGAAGATTGTGTAGATTGAAAATCTTCACGACGCCGACTGAAATGTGAAAGGAAATAATTATACACTTGGTTAATACACTACAATTATTGGCAACTCTTATTAATCATATTGCCAACCACAAGGATTTTCTATTGGCTAGTGAAAAAAATAAGTTAAAGGCCTTTTGAAATTGAGAAATAGGGCAGGAACATCATTTGGTATGTCTAACCCCTTGAATATTTTTTACTGATGCAAAGGACTGGAAATTTTAGAGTTTTTTCCATGACTAAAAACACTTGTAAAACTTACTGATAATCGTAATAACTATGTATTCAGCAGATGATGCAGATGAGAACGATGTTATACACTTAGATTCCCCTGGAGAGGAAGATGAAGGTGCAGGTGAGAAATCAAAAGAAAACAGTTATGTTTAGCCACAGAGTATAGAGTTGATGAGATCACAATGCGATTGGTGTAGCTAAGGATATATGAGTAAAAATCACTCAACAATATCACGTGCTTGTTCAAACATTTTAATGGGTACACAAACTAAGCAAAATCAAATTTTGAGGCCCATTCATGTAACAGTTTGTTTTGAACACACTGAGGCAACCTTTTAACTTGTGACTTTGACATCGCATATCTCAACACTAGCTACTTTGGAAAGCTACCACTCAGCACCAGCGACCTCAGAGAGCTACCAGTCTATAAGTTTCATCTTAAAGTACATAATTACAGATAATAATACATATTAGTATATACTAAAACAGTGGATGGTGTTTTTCTCACGCTCTGATTGGCTACTTAATCAGTGAATATCTTGCACTATTCACTGATTCACCTCCAGTTCCTCCGAGTGAGCAACGCCAAACTCACGTAAATTGCAAGCAAAATGCCTTCCTGTTTGCTGCCGTAACAAACCAAGAAATTTCACAACTAATCAAGCAAGCTGTTGCTGAAATACATGAAGAAGATGACGAAGTTCAGTTTGGAAGTTTTAACCAGTGAAAAAGTTTTTTTGTTTACAAATGCAAATTAAGCTTAAGTGTTGTGTTACTTTATTTAGTTGACTTGTTCATAAATAAGCGTAAAGTACAACCAACCCCCCAAGTTTTTTTTGACTGAATGAAATCTTCTTAACATCCTGCTTCCTTGTGCGGAAATATTTTTGTCATAGCGTTTTTCGAAATTTTGTTATAATTTTTCAAGGTTATACATTTTGGCGGTTCTTTTGGCCACTACCGAGCTCTGTGGAGAATGGGTCCGAGTGTTATTTTGATGTCAGTGAAGGAGCTCGACTTTTGCAAGCAACACAGACTTCTCTTGAAATCTTCTTCTGGAATCATGCTCGATGCCTGTGTTGTTTTCGGTTGTAGCAGAACAGCCGATCCCCAAAGAGGTATCAGGCTTCATAGAATTCCTTCCTTTGATGATCCATGTGAGGAAATCATTAAAAGACGACGGAAATGGGTGAACTTTGTCCAGCAGAGGAGAGCTAAATGGAAGCCAACCAAGCATTCAAAAATCTGCTCCTTACATTTTAAAAGGGAATATTTTACTCGGATGTTTACCCTTCTTTCCGGGCAGAAAATCCCATCTAGTCCACGCCTGAAGGAAGACAATCTGGGGCCTTGTGTCTTTCCCAGTATACAAGCAAACAGCCCTGAATTCAAAGGCTCTGCTACCAAACCTCAGTCAGCTCGAGCCAAAATGTCAATTGCCAGAAAGGTGAGAAATTCAACTAATACACTACTAATAGAAATACTTAAGCTTTATACATATTCTCAAGCTTTTGCAAAATCGTTTAAGTTTAGCAGTTTATTTATAAGCTTTCTTTTTTTAGATTGTCAAAGAGATGCAGGCATCAAGCAGCACGAAAACATTTACTGCTGGCGAGGAAAATTCTGCAAAAGCTGACGAGAATTCCAGGGAAGAGAAGCATGTCAGGGAGGTGAAAACTGTCGAACTGCCTGAAGAAGAAGCATCCACCGTGGAAGTTGAGAGCAAGATTGGGGTTGTAGCAACTGTGGTGAAGTACAAAATGAGATACGGATGTTATGAAATCAAGTGAAGTCGCTTCAGGCTAAATTGGGCGTGCATCGAAAAGACAAAAAGAAGATTAACCTGAGGCTAAGTGAGTACTTTATTTATCACCATTTCACTGGTTTATTCGTAATGAATGGAAGAAATGAATGTTAGATTCTTTTCCGAGTACATGTACCCTCAACCATCTGCGAATTTTTCCAAATCTATATATTTTTATAATTTTGTCTCATGTGTAGATGTATAAGAATGAGGAAAACCAAAACTACCAGCTTTCTATCATAAAAAATAGTTGATAGTTTATCAAGTGTACTTATGTTTTTCTCTACCAAGCAGTTTTGGACATATCACCAAAGAAAATGAATCGACCTTACATGTACATGCCAAAGGTGGGGATGCCAATAGGGATAGTGATGATGATGATGATGATGTTTATGACTATAACGTGCATAAGAAGTCTGATAAAGAAGGAGGTGGCACAGGTGACACCGAGACAGAAACGGATGAGACTATCGAGACTGATGAGACAAAGAGAGATTGAGGAAGACAACTGTGATGACCATGCTGATCTGTAAGTTGATAAAAAAATTGACTATTTACTATTTTCAGCATTCTACATTTGCATGAAGGTTGGTGTCCGCTAATTAGTAAACTATTAGCATGACAATAATTTTGTTTGAGAAAACTTTCATAAACGTTCACCAAACTTCACCTTCCTTTAAACAGATATTCTCGTAAAAGGCCAAAAAAGGTTAACGTTAGTGAAGATCATGCAAAACCCTGTCAAGTTTTTTCACACACTAACATTGCACTGTCCTGTTCTTCCGGGCCATCCTGTTGTGTAAACTCTGGCGTGCGTTATTACAGCTGTACCCTGCTCACTAATACATTTCCCCTTAAACATCAAGTTGACTTAGCAGGTATAGTAGTGATCAGTAGCTGTCAATCAACAAGTCTTGTTGGTTACATCTACTGAAAATGGGAATATTAAAGTTTGAAAATGGTGATTTTGTTAATGGCTACCTTTCTTTCTGGGTGGCTTCTGCAAATAGGGCTTAAAGCTAGCACTGTACCATCTTCTTAAACTTACAAACAAAGAATATTATTTCATGATTTTTTTACAAACAGATTGACAACTGCTGGAACAAGCCTGAAGTCAGAGCAGAAGCACATTGTGTTTTTATCACAGCTGCTTCTCCTTTTCAACTTTTGCCCTTTTTTTGTAAGACAGATAACCCTTTGATAGAAGCCAGGCAAATGGGAACCAAAGCAGTGGTGACAAGTACATGCCATAACCCAAAGTGCCCAAGGCAAGTGATCACTTAGCATAGTCAGCCAAACATGCCAAACTCAGGAATAGCACTGCTAGCTGGAGCACAGGGAACCCGAACGTTGTATTAGCTAATAGAAAAATTTGATGTATGTTTGCCGTATTAGCTAATGAAATAAGATGTATTTACCTTTGTTCCTCTGTCTTTATGAGTCGTTTTGGAAGGGATTTGAATTCGATCAGACGGTCAACATTGCTGGTCATCAAGATGCATTTGCTTGTCTGGCGTGTTGTAAATAAGACGCTCAAGTTTCCTCTAATATTGTTAACTATTAACTCTCCTGTAATGGCCACATTTCCAATATTGTCATGTTAACTATTAACTCTCGATCTCCTTGGGAGATGATCTTGGGTTTCAATTTAACGGTAACAAGAAGAGAAAAGAGACAAGGGATGAAACTCTGTAGCTGTCTTCATACAATCTGTGACTCCACTTGACCTGACCAGTCTCACACGTAGAAATGCGCGAGGAAACACGATCCGACGGCTGGCAGGCTTTTTTCTGCGATTTCTGCGACAAGCAACGTGAATGAATCTCCTCTTTGTGGTAATTTCAATGTTGTTTATTCGTGAGTCGAATTATGTTTTTTCCTCAGTTGCTTTCCGGATACAAGAGAATAGACATTATTATCAAATTCAAAGCACATTTTTGCCAAGAGATTGCTCAGTTTATGATTCTTGTATTTCCACTCTAACCGCCGCTAAAAGATAGCTTTTGTTACAAATAATATTACAACGATTGGATTTTTTACCAAAAGATTGATCAGTGTTCAAACCTGGCCTCCAGTATGGAAATTTTTCCTCAGTTCATCCACTAAAATTGAAATTTTTTTGTTTCAAATTTAAATCAGTTCTGTTCTAACGGCTGCTAGAGCATACTTCAAAAGTACTCTCGTTCATTTTCTTTCGAGCTTAAATCAAATCTAATAAGATACGCACACACATTTACCTAAGTTTTTCAAATCAAGCAATCTATAATTGTTTTCTCACAGGATACTACAAACCTTCGCTAGTGTAAATGGGCAATCCACATCTATAAGGGATGTCATGGAGACGCATCACAAGGCTACCCCGGACAAAGAAAACTGTCTTGCACATTTTGAGATCCTCCGTATTTTAAAAAAGATATTCCCGAAGATAAAGGAATCAAGAACTAGAACCTCAGAAGAAAGAAAGGAAGTATATTTAAATTTGGCCATTTCAAGCTGCTTCGCCAGCAATAACAGTGTGTCAGATCGTTTAACATGCCTGAACCTGAAGGCATACAAACCAAAGTTTGATTTTCAGTGGGGACTACCAAGACCTGAACATGTTGAGTTTATCAGTGTAAACAGCGAAGATCGTCTCCACGGAAATCCGGTCGTGCGTGAGTTAAGAGTTATCAGCGACTAACATGTTGAAATTTTTAATGTGGGAAGAAAAGTTCCATTGAAAAACGTGCCCACTCAAATCAACACAGGTGCAGATTTAGACCATATCTTTTTTTATTTGGTCTCTGTGAGTGACCTCTGCAAAGAATTCCCTGTGGATTCTGAAAGAAAGAGCAGAAATAGACATGTTACGAGGGAATGTGAACAGCAGACTATTGGAGGGAAAGAAACAAGAAAAAAAAGTTGAAATGAATTGACAGGCTTTGAAAGACAGAAGTAAACTAACATCTTTGATGTACGTTACATTTTTTTTTAATTCGCCCTCCTCCTTGTCGTTACTCTTCACAAACACCATACAGAATCAAAATCAATAGAATCCAACAAGCACTAGCGCTAGTAGTCTTTTGCAAAGACTCTACATTTCTACACGACAAACATACACAAGGTGGCGGATTGTAGCCGATGGAGTTCACTAACAAGGTACTTACGCCTCAAAATAAAAGTGCCCTCATTTAAGTTTCATCCCTTGTCTCTTTTCTCTTCTCGTGGCTGTTAGAAGAAAGTTAACAGTTAACAATATTAAAAACGTGAGACAAAACTTGAGCGTCTTATTTACGACGCGCCAGACAAGCAAACGCATCTTGATGACCAGCAATGTTAATTGTCTCTGATCTGATTTGAATCCCTTCCAAAACGACTCATAAAGACACAGGAACAAAGGTAAACACATCTTATTATTTCATTAGCTAATACAGCGTTCGGGCTCCCTGTCCTGGAGGCTCTGCTTCAAAAGTCTTCCAGGTTTTCTCACACATGGGTCTTGGCTGTGTGTCCCTCAACACCTTCAGATTCCGAAGGGTAAGACTATTTCGGTGCTGGTCATGAGTTCCAGTTAATTGCAGGCAATGATATAAATGAATATTGTGGTACAGTTTAACTAACGTGCAAATTAGTTCCACACTTCAGATGTAAATAATATTATTAAAGTGATTAATTCAAATTAAAAACAATTACAGGTACACTGCAGTAGGTAAATGATAACGTAACGTATTGTTATTCTATCTGAGAACATCTTGCGCAAAAAGCTGCTGCATACTTTACAAAGCTGTATGTACATAAACTAATCTTATTATTATTATTTATTAACATTATTTTTCATTTCCAATCTTTTTTTCAGAACAAGCTCTTTCCAACAATTTCACTTTATTGGGTAAAATATCAAGCGAAATTGTTGGAAAAGGTGAAAGCTATACAAGGGGGTATTGTGTTAGCGGGAAATGGAAGACACGACAGCATGGGACATAGCGCCAAGTTTGGAGCTTACACTATGTTTTGTTGTACTCTGCCAATGATAATACACTTTGCCCTTATTCAGGTAGACTGAAAAACCATGGTTTGTTCTTCAAATGTTAGTGAATTTTACAGCTAGTGATAGCTTTATTTTACGTCACCACTGCTAATGGGATTATATAAGTACATACAGTTAAGAATGCTAATCTTAGTTCACTCTAGTGATACAAGCTTGTGGGAATGATTTCGATGAACTTTTTTTCTTATTATTATTCACAGAGAAATCAGCCAGGAAGCAGTCCTGCCATGGAATTCATGGGATTCAAGCAATGCATGGAATTTCTGTTGGGCTGTGGGGTTTTGATAACCACATTCATCTCTGATCGCCACACCACCATTGCAAGCCACATGAAGCTGGTGCTCAGCAACATTGCCCATTACTTTGACATATGGCATTTGAAGAAGAGTAAGTATCCTCTAATAAAGTAAATGTGTAAACCTGTAATTTTTCACAGTTTAGTGATTTCCTTGCAGATTTACATTCTCGGCCTTAATGAAACTACAAACTTGTATGTTTATTTAAGTGAATTATTTTGAAAACATGTAATAAAAAATTGATATTATTGTTGAAAGCATCAAACAACTCAATGTCCTTCATCAACAACAATCTTTGAAAAACCACCTGGCTGACTGAAATGTTAAGTATGTACCTGTGTGGTAGATAAAATCTTTACATGCTGTAATGAATATAAACTACCAGTAAATGTACAATTTAAACTTAATGGTTGTAATGTTTGCTTCCCTAATTTTTTAGTGTACATGTAGAAATAAGAAAGGTCCTGAGCAAACTGTCTAAAGAGAAAGGTTGTGAGATTTTGGCTGAATGGATAAAGCCGTGCGACAACCATTTGTATTGGAGTGCGAGCACTGCCTTCAGCGGCAATGTGAAAGTGATTTGGGCAAAGTTTAAGACTTTCTTAAGTCACATTATTAACACGGACTCTTCCCTTGACAATCTCCTTTTCAACAAGTGTGGACATGGACAAATACACCCAAGAAAATGGCTTCATGCTGATATGGTTCATATAACAACGAACGCAAGTTCAACTCCTCACGAGATTTCCTTAGCTCTCTTTCAAATGCAAGATTTACATTTGGGCCATCCATACCAATGTTTCATGTCTTTTCTGGGTTCAAGTCGTTTGTGGTCTCTTCATAGTGATTGAGGATGTCGTGTGCTCTACCATGGCCTATGAACAAGGATGTGAGATACTAGGACTCAACTCTGCAATTTTCACTTGACCAAAACTGCACATGCACATCCAGTTGCTTGCTCTGTACCTCCTCAGTAACAGTGCATGGGCTGGTGATTGCTCCACGTTGTATAATAGTTTCCTGGTGAAATATAGGCCAAGTTCAAATGTTGTGACATATCTGAATTTTGACTCGCTCATTGAATAATCCACTGCAATTTCACTATCACTGAATGTTCTCTTGAATAAGTCATTTACACCAACACTTGAATTTCCAGAGAAGTGGGAGTAAACACATTTCAAAGCCCATAAAATCTCTGTATCAGCGACTTTTTTGGACAACACCACCAAAATTTTTTAAGCTGAGCGGTGAGTTTGGTGTCTGTTCATTACACCTTACAAAAAACTGTTTGATACGTGCCGTTTATGTTAAAAGAACCAGAAGATAAGTAAAAACAGGATCTGTTCCAACAATTTAGAAAAGGGAGTCCTTTTCTGTAAGTGGACGAAGCTGTCAACAGGTTAGTGAATCTCCATAGTTTTTTCTTTTAGATGGAGCCGTTGATGCAACTTTTTAAAAGTAAAGAAAGGGTTTTTTTATCATGATGGCAATCACAGTTCGTTTGTAAGTGGAGGTCTCTTTAGTAGGACCACTTCAATTGTTCCTAGTAACTGTAGGTAAAGATAAAGAAAGCGTTAGATTTTTTTATAACCCAGGTTCTGACTTTCTCATTTCACACCTTTTGCTTATACAATCAATGTCAATTATTTCAGAACGAAGTACACAATGATACTATTGTTCTGAAAAGCAGTCTAATCCATTAACTATCTGGCTGTTGGCTTTGGCAAGGCTAGATAGATAATATTCTATCATGCAAAATCTATCGCTTACCAGCCATTTCGATACAAATTGATTCAGTTGAGATGTAAATAGTTTAACGTACAACAAGGAATATTCACACCATATTTTTTTCTTTGGTCAGAAACTAAGTTTACATTAAGTCAGATAAAAAATGCAGTTCAGTTCCACTGCTGGAATATGTATCAAAATGATCGGTCTTTTCTTAACTTGAATATTTTTGTTATAAACATCGTTGTCTTGGCAGCTTGTAAAGAAAATATTGGAACAACACAACCTATACCAAGAAAAATGAGACAAATTCTGAGGCGGACGATGAAGATGTTGAGGCGGAGGTTGAAGATGATGCTGAGGTACATTGTCTAGACGAAAGCAGAAGTACATTGTCTAGACACTGGCAATAGAATACAAGTAGATATAGCGATGCAGGCAGCTGATGAAGAGAAGGTGGATGAGCAAAAAAAAAACTGAGAAGACTACTGAACCGCTGGAGGGAAGTCGGGCTTCTGGGATGCGGGCACTAATGGACGAACAAAAGGAGGATATACAAGGGATGAAGCTCTACAGGTGGTGGGAAGACGAAAGGGTTCTCAGTCAGGCAACGTGTTCCAGAACTTAGCAGCAGTATAACTAAAAGAATTTAAGCCATAAAAACTAGCAACAGGTTAAGGAAGACTAAGGATATCAGCACCTCTCATCAAATAATCAACATATCTCAGAGAAAGCAATTCTATACTGCGGATACTGTTTAAGATGAAGACATTTGAAGATAATTATAAGCAAGCTCTGTATCTGCTTGTTACTGAATAAACAGTCTCCAATCCATTGCAATTGGTCACCATATGATCAGACTTTGTCATTTAAGATGACCCAAAGAACGCGTTTGTTCAACATTTCATTATTTTGAGAGTCACGAAAATGCTATATGGTAGAACAATACAGGAAGGGTGGAAATATAAATGCTTTGTAGAGAAGTAATAGTACAGTGGCAGGTCTAAGCTTGCAAAATCCACTTATGACATTGAATTGATTAGTTATCTTTTTACATGTGTTAGAGACGTGTTCATGAAAACAGCGCCTGTCATCCACAGTTATTCTAAAAAAATTCAATTGATTTTTGTACCTGAAAGGAAAACACGTGATCCGTGTTTGCTATTATCATGGTCTGGTGTTTGGTGGGATTGACCAACATACCATCGCTTCTGTACCATTTGTTTGCAATATTGAGCTGATGCCGTCTGACTCCTATAATAAAGTAGGGGGTCACTTGCTATTTACATGGTCTGCAGGGGGGGCCTTACAGAAATTTTGATCTTTCCATCATATTTCGGCTCCCCCCTCTACATAAATAATGACCAGTTCCTTAGGTGCCATGAAGTATTAATAAAGAAGACGAAATATCGGCAAGAGTCGTATTTTCCAGTTTTTTGAGGAATGAAACTCTCACAATCTCATGACAGCAACAAAACATCTCCACAAGACCGTGAATCATTACAGGAAGCACTAGGTGAGAAAGAAGTCTGAAACATTCATTTGCACGAGGAGCCTCATGCAGAATTTTTTGGACGCTGTTGAAAGCCACAGTTGGTAAAGACGCTATACTAATTAAATTCTTACGCATGAAATTTAATTTTGCAAAAGTCAGCTGCTGGATACATGATCTTCCCTGAGAGATCAAGGATAACAGAGACAAAGCTTAAGACGTCTGGAGATGCCATTTTGTGGTTTTCAACCCCCGCTGCAGTGTTAATCCAGAATGCTAAAAAGTACCCTTTTTGTACTCTTTCATGCTATATTGGTCTTTAAAATGTTTCAATGCGCTCTTTGTAGTAACATTGAGTTTTGCTGACCGAAAGAAAGATTTGACTTTTATAGACATGTTAAAATTTTATTTTTTTGTCATTCGATCTTCTTCGGGATTAATTACTTTTACCTGCTGAAAACAGGTAAAACTGAGCGATTTTCAAGAGCATCTGTAGACTAATTTTTTTAGCTTAAGTGTCCAACTGCTGAACTGTTGTGGACGCTAATGATGACAAGAGCAGAAAACGAGGAAACAGCGACAAGAGTGGAAAAAAAGAAAGCAACAGGCTAAGTGGGAAAAGTCCAGTCCTTCCACAAATGCTAAAAACGATGGTAGTGAAGAAGAGAAACTAGCGACCAAGAAAAAAGCAAGTTGCTCGAAAAATTCTCCTAAAGTGCATGTATCCAAGACAAAGAGTCTCACCAAGGAGATCAAGCCAAAAGCGCAACTGGCAGCCGCAAGCTCAAGAAGTGCTTTGATGTTGAGCTTAGCTGTCAAAGGAAAATCTTTAAAGACCATGCAGGCCTTGGCAGATGGAAAATCTTGCAAGCATTCCAACCAAAAAACCCATGACAAACGTTCAAATCAACCACCACAGCTCATGCCAGCTTCATCCAGAAGAAATCTGTGTGCAGTTAAAAAACACATTGCCCTTAAGGAGAAGAGCCTGATAAACGAACTAGCGCCAGGGCACATGGACTATTTGCCCCTAGATGCTGTTGGTAGTGGAAGCTATGGGCAATGCTACCGTGCCCGTTATAGGGAAATCAACAACGTTGTCTAGAAGATGATACAAAGGGATACAGAAGAGGACAAGTTAAGGGTGAAGCGTGAAGTGGTCCACAAAGAGAAGTCCTTACTGCACTTGGGGACCATGAAGGACTGCCTAGGGCACATAGACTATTTGCCTCTAGATGCTGTTGGTAGTGGAAACTATGGGCAATGCTACCGTGCCCATTACAGGGGACTCAACAGCGTTGTCAAGAAGATGATACACAGGGATATAGAAGAGGACAAGTAAAGGGGGAAGCGTGAAGTGGTCCACGAGGCAGAAGTGCTTACTGCACTTGGGGACCACGAAGGACTGCCTATGCTTATAGGTATCACAACAGCAAATACACCATTTTGTGTTGTAACACACTTCCACGGTGTCAATGAAAGAAGTGTGACCCTTCATCAAGCTGCAAAGAACAAAATAATAACACCTACCGAATATATTCATTTATTTGTGAAGATCTGCTCTTGCCTTAGAGCACTGCATTCGAAAGGATTTTTGCACAACAACATTAAAAGCAATAATGTGGTGTTTCATCAAACTGGTTCCTAGCCATGATCACTGTGAACAAGAAGAAGATGCATGAGAACAGTAACCACGGGAAAAGTTACCTTGCTCCAGAAGTCGTAAAGTACAGGCAGTACAGTCCAGCCAGTGACATTTATTCTGTGGGACGAATGGTGAAAGCGATTGCAACAATCGTGGGATTTTATGAGAAGTTTCGCATTGGTGTTAAGAATGCAACCAACAATGAACCTTCTCGTTGAGCAAACAACCAACAGTTCACCAAGGAAATCA